TGTAAATCTTACAGTGCCGACGTAAGTTTTACACTTTTTTATTATTAAACTTACAATTGACACATGTAAAATTTTTTATATTTTCTAGATGCAGCCCCAAGGGGTATCGAAATAAAGTCTAAAGGAATACTTTAGGTGTTTTTATTTTAAATAGATATATATGAATAAGTTATATAATTAATAGATATATTAATCAGATAAATAGATATGTGTATTATACATTGTTAACTTGTTGCATTTCTTCTCGAACCGCCCATAATAATTGGTAATGTAATGCTAATTCTGAATCGCAGAGACCATCAGGTCTGTAGAAATACTCTAACCATTTTTGTTGTATTACCTTTACAGCTCTGATTTTTCTACCAATTTCTCTTGCATGTTTAACTCTTCTAATAGCATTCTGCATCCACAATCCATATTGATGCAATGCATGTTCATTATCATAAATATATCCTGAAATTGATTTTTGCTTGATTTTTAGTAAGTACACATCATAACTTACTCCACAATAAGAATTTCCTGTACAATGAGAAGCCCAATGCCTTTCCATTCCTATGTGGTTATAATTTCCAATATTTTTAGTTCGTTTACCGGTATATACTAATTGATTACAAGAGAAACAGATAGCAATACCAATTTCAGGTGCATAGCTTTTATAAAATCCATTAACCTCAGACCAATATGTTATTGATTTTCTGGCTTCAAGATATTTTTTACTATTGGTAGGTAGAAGATCATTCTCTCTGAAATATTGTAAGAAAGGCCAAATTCGGTTCATCCATTCGGTAGGAGTCTCATTCGATAAAACAATACCCATCTCCAGAATTCCATCCCATTCAGCATTGGTACAATTGGTTCCACGTCTTTCACTTAAGCTAGTCATTTTATACAAACTATTTATAGTGTTTTTTGAGATTATGTGATTATATCGAATTTAAGGATCTAGACCTATTAGATTTGGTTTTATATTGTTAGTTAAAACTGGATTCATTTTTTGTGCAAATTCTATTTGAATCATTTTATCGTATTTTGCAAGCGATTATGGGGTTTGAGCGATAATAATATTAATAAATGGTAAAAAATCGAGATATAGTCGAATGTTCCACAAGATTATTTCTCACTATGGAATTAATAAGGCCTTTTCCTTACTGTAGATAGCTTTTCCAATAAGAAAAAATACAAATGAGACTCAAATAGGATATGAATGAGGAGAGTTTATTGTTCTTTATCAGTAATAATATCAAAATTCATATGTTACGGAACTTGAGATCCGAGATCGCCAAAATTTGTCTTATTTTACACATTGAATGAGAGATCGCCAGACTGGAAGGTTTAATTTCCCATAAAAGGCAAAATATATTTAGTTCTTGGCACCATGACTTAATAGACCTGCCTTACGAAGAAAGATCCGAGAAATGATCAGGTAACGTAATTACTAATGTTTTTCTTCTAACAGGTTTTCAAGCTTATCAAATGAAACTACGTGCCTTGGCACTAGCTCCGCTATAAATAAACCGGATTTATGAAGCATCATTTTTTATCTTCCCACAATTTTATAAGGTACGTACCATCACCCATTATGCATCGTTTATAAGTGAATTTCTATTTACTATGTGTCTTTATTTTTTAGGAAATGCAAAATGTCTAATATATTTGATATTGATCTCAATTGTCTTATAATTCCTATTGAGGGCTTCCATGCCTTTCCGAATGATAGAGTTAAATTCACAATTCGTATTTCTAATGGATCAGGGGTCAATAAATTACTGGATATGGTTCAGTGTTGGTTAGATGGATTTACTAATGTTTCTTACCAGCTCCGTGCATTTTCTTCTAGAGCTATAGGATACAGAGTCATGCAAAACCATAGTAATATTGGATCTTATTTTCCAGGAATTCCCGATTCAAATATTATTCATGTACTCATATACCCAGTATCAGAATCGGAACCAGCACCTGCAACTACATTAAAAACCAGAGGAGCTAGTGTCAGACACATAAATAATTAGATTTTTTTTTTGCATTTGTATTCGCATTATTATTATGTAATAGCGATATGTATTTTTTTATTTCATATGGTGCAAGTCACCTAGTCCTGCAACTTGCTGCGCCTCATGGCCAATTTTGGGAAAATCACCAAAACTCAGAATTTGTAAGTTATGCTCAAAAATGCAATAAAATTTTATATCACG